CCTTGAGAGGGTGCGGGGGGCAGGTGGGGGATGCGAGCATGGGGGCGGCAGCGCCTGGGGGCGTGAACGTTCAGGGGCACTCGCCGAGGCCGCAGGATGGTGGCGTAACAGTTTGAACGAGGAGTAAGAACCACTTCGTCCTCGGACGTACTGCTAGTACAACTGCTCTTCCTTCCTCCCCTCTCCCTCCTCCTTCCTCCTCCTCCCCCCCGTCTCCTTCTTCCTCTCCCTCATCATCCCTCCCCTCCTCGTCCTCTTCTTCCTCCTCCGAGATACGGGGCGTGCGCGAGGCGATTGCGATGGCGATGTGCCGTCCGAGCTGTGGATGTCGAAGTTCCTCGGAAGCGGTGGTGGCAATATTTTCTCGGGCGGGAGATCTGGGCGAGGGTGCCGGGCCCCGCGTGCCAGAAACATCCCCCATGATGGGGCGTGGTACCCAAAAGGATGCACGTGACATGTGGACGCATGGTGCGCGATGGAAACATGACCGTTGTTGTTGTCGTCGTCGTCGTTGCTGTTTTTGTTGTCGTTGTTATCGTTGTTGTTCCTGTTGTCGTTGCTGCTGCTGTTGTTGTTCGTCGTTCTGCGTCGCCCCCCCCGCGACCCGGCCCCCGATCGACCCGCGACCCGCCTGCGACCCGCCGCGACCCGCCCCCGACCCGGCCCGCGACCCGCCCGCGACCCGCCCGCGACCCGCCCGCGACCCGCCCGCGACCCGGCCCGCAACCCGTCCGCGACCCGCCCGCGACCCACCCGCGACCCTCGCGGGACCCAGCCGCGACCCTGCCCTCGACCCACCCGCGACCCGCATTCGACCCACCCCGCGACCCACCCGTGACCCACCCGCAACCCACCCCGCGATCCACCCACATTGCCTTAACCACAAAACGGCGCCAGCGGGCTCGTTGTCAGAGTAAAGGGGGCGGAACGGTCATTATTATACTGTCCTTAGGTGCGTGGCTGAAGTGGGATTCTGCGATGCGGATTATTGTTTTTGTTGTCGTTTTTGTTGCTGTTGAACTCTCATTGCGGAATAACCGATATTGTTGACCCCCCCTCTGGTGCGCATTATGTTTGTTTCAATTGAGGTGCCTTTCCCGGCGCTCGCACGTTATATATATATATATATATATATATATATATATATATATAAAGAGAACAAGGAAAATCTTGAGGCTCAAACTGTGTCCCTTGCCCCTGAGTTACAACAACAACGTCCCCCGCTTAACACTTCATCACCATTTAGCAAGGACCCCCGTTCTCGGCTGAGACTTCGTCGCGTTGTATGCAGGATTCGCGCTCTCGCTTGGGACATCCTTACAAATTATGCAGGGATCGTTCTCTCGGCGCTCTGGAGTCGTGCTCTCGCTGCAGATTCGCTTGCAACGTATTCAAGAATAGCGCCCTTGCGTTGGAATTTTCCGCAATTTACTTTAGCGCCGCGGTCCCGGCAATCAGGGACCCAGGAGTAACGCTCAAGCTTAGGACTCCGTCGCAGCATGCCCTTCGTGCCCTCGCTCGGGATCTCGCTGCCATTCGTGGCCCCATATATGCATGCCCTTCGTGGCCCCCTCGCTGCCCTTCGTGGCCCCGTTGCAGTCTTTCGTGGCCCCCTCGCTGCCTTTCGTGGCCTCGTTGCAGCCCTTCGTGGCCCCCTCGCTGCCCTTCGTGGCACCGTTGCACCCTTTCGTGGCCCCCTCGCTGCCCTTCGCGGCCCCGTGGCAGCCCTCGGTGGCCCCCTCGCTGCCCTTCGTGGCACCGTGGCAGCCCCTCGTGGCCCCCTCGCTGCCCGTCGTGGTCTCGTTGCAGCCCTTCGTGGCCCCCTCGCTGCTCTTCGCGGCCCCGTGGCAGCCCTTCGTGGCCCCCTCGCTGCCCGTCGTGGCCCCATATGTTTCTGCCCTTCGTGGCCCCCGCTAGTTCGCGCCCGTCGTGGCCCCATATACATGCCCTTCTTGGCCCCGTTGCTGCCCTCAATGGCCCCGTCCTTGCCATCCGAGGCCCGATATACGTATGCCCTTCGTGGCCCCCGCTCGTTCGCGCCCGTCGTGGTCCCATGTGCGTGCCCTTCGTGGCTCCGCTGTCGCGTTTTGTGGCCCCTTCGCTGTCCTACGTGGCCCAGTTCCTACCCTCAGTGGCCCCGTCGTTGCCTTCTGTGGCCCCTCATTATCTGCCCTTCGTGGCCCCCGCTCGTTCGCGCTCTTCGTTGCCCCATACGCATTCCCTTCGTGTCTCCGCTGTCGCCCTTCGTGGCCTACTTCGTGCCCTTCGTGGCCTTGCTTTCGCTCGTCGTCGTCTTCGTTGTCGTCGTCGTTGTGGTCGGTCCCCTGTCCGTCCCTCTTGGGGTCGGGTTGTCGCCGGTCAGCGCTGCCGCTGGCCAGGCCGACGGTCCGCGGCCGCCCCGCCGGTTGCCGGGGCCCGGTCTGCAGGGAAGGAAGGTGTACCCCCCAAAAAGGATACGATCGAAGACGAAGAGGGCGGGTATCGAGGGTTTGGGAAATACGCGTTAACGGACACTCGAGGAACAGTCTTAAAATGATTGTTGTTGGTGGTGGTGGTTGTGCTGGTGTTGCTGTTGGTGGTGGTGGTGTTGTTGCTGCTGCTGCTGCTGTTGTTGTTGGTTTTGTTGTTGTTGTTGTTGTTGTTGTTGTTGTGTTGTGTTGTGTTGTGTTGTCTTGTTTTGTTTTGTTTTGGTTTGTTTTGTTGTGTTTTGTTTTGTTTTGTTTTGTTTTGTTTTGGTTGTTGTTATTTGGCGTCGTCCCGCCCGTGACCCGGCCCGCGACCCATTCGCGACCCACCCCACGACCACCCCGCAACCCACCCGCGACCCAGCCGCGACCCACCCCGCGACCCACCCCGCGACCCATCCCGCGACCCGTCCGCGACCCGCCCGCGAGCCACCCGCGACCCACCCGCGACCCACCCGCGACCCACCCGCGACCCGCCCGCGACCCACCCTCGACCCGGCCCTCGACCCACCCGCAACCAACCCGCGACCCCCCCGCGATCCACCCACATTGCTTTAACGAAAAATCGGCGCCTGCGGCGGGCTCGTTGTATAATTGTCAAAATTCAAGACGTTTCGCATAACCTCACCAGCCCATCCAGAGACGATGCCCAGAGGATTTGCCTCGATCAGGGAAGTGGGCAGCACGCAGATGAAGTGTCCCTCTTGGAGCGCTCTTGGGGCACTCTTGGGCGCTCTTGGGGCCGTCTTGGGGCTCTCTTGAGCCTCTCTTGCGCTTGGGGGCCTCTTGGCGGTCCCGGGGGCCTCTTGGAGCGTCGCGGGGAGCCTCTTGGTGCCTCTTGGGGGTCCCTTGAGAGCATCTTGGATTATCTTGAGCCATCTTGGAGGTCATCTTGGGCTCTCCCAGGCGCTCGTGGAGCCATCTTAATCAGTGAGCCCCCCCAGGAGGCCAAAATGTGGCCAACACATAATCAGATCAATGATTTCGGCATTCTCGCCGAGGCCTCTTGACGCGTCTTGGGTGCCTCTGGGGGGTCTCTTGCGGCCTCTTGTGTGTCTCTTGGGGTCCTCGTGGGGGCATCCTGGGGGCCTCTGGGGGGCCTCTTGGGGCCTCCTGGGCACTTCTTGGGGCTCTTTTGAAGCGGCCTTGGGAGCCCTGGGGACCATCTTTGGGCCACCTTGAAGGACATCGATCAAACAAGAGGAAGGCTTTAATTAGGGTCGCCCTCCCAAGACGCCAACATGGTGCCAAAACCTTGGTTAAACCATTGATGTTGGCTTCCTCGCCGAGGCCGTCTTGGACGCTCTGATACCTCGTGACCGGTCCCGTCCAGGTCCAGGGGAGGGGGTAAGGGGGAGGGGTAAACCCCTCCCCGAAGGGGAAGAGGGGCAGATGGAAGACAAAGCACCCTAGACCACCTACGCCCTAAAGGGCTGGTGGCATTAGAAGCCCGCGGCGGCCTTTTTCAGAGCCTCGCAGACTGCAGACGTCCCCGCCCTCCCCTCACTCGTATCCGCAACTGCTGGGTGCTACGTATTTTCGCAGACCTAGAGGTTGACACCAACACCAAGATCGGCGGTGTGCCTCCACCGAGGGAAGACGATCCCGATCTCGGTGATGGTGGTAATAATTTTGGCTTCCAAGGTGACCGATATCTTACCACCAACACCGAATTCTAGGATCATTTTCCGCATGTGGAGGCAACCCGCTGTGCTGGTGTTGGTGCCAATTTCCAGGCCTCCAGTATTTGTTATGTTGGACTGCCTGCGCACCATGTGTGTTTGGTATGGCTTCGGCATGCGTGCGCGCGTGCGGACTTGTGTGTGCAGTTGTTGTCTTGCAGCGGGTTCTTGGAACGTGATGTATACGTAGCACCCCGCAGTCGCGGACAAGAGTGAGGGGGCGGCGGGGACGTCGGCAGTCTGCGAGGCTCTGAAGAAGCCCGCTGCAGGTGGCAAAGGCTGACACTAATTTTGCAAGGAGCCCGCCGCAGGCGCCGATCTTCTGGTCAAAGCAGTGTTGGTGCGTCGCGGGGTGGGTCGCAGGTCGGTCGCGAGTGGGTCGCGAGTGGGTCGCGGGTGGGTCGCGGGCCGGGTCGCGGGTGGGTCGCGGGGTGTGTCGCGAAGGGGTCGCGGGTGGGTCGCGGGCGCTTCGCGGGGTGGGTCGCGGGCTGGGTCGCGGGTGGGTCGCGGGTGGGTCACGGGTGGGTCGCGGGCGGGTCGCGTGGTGGGTCGCGGGTGGGTCGCTGGTGGGTCGCGGGTGGGTCGGGTGGGTCGCGGGGGGGACGAGCCCGCGAGGCGGCACGGGCGGCAACGTAGAACATCTCTGGCGGACCCGAATTTTTAAGAACCCCAAGCCCGACCCCCGAATTGCAATACATATCGATGTCATACATACGCCTCCCTTCACATTCCGTGCTGACAGAGAATTTTTTGCTAGCCAATGATGTTGATCCGCTCATTCATGAGTCCCCTCCTCTTCCCCGCGCGGATGCATAGGTTTGCGTTGTTGGAATAACTTGTATATTGGGCATCATTTGGCTCGAGACCGTGTCCTGCAGGTTGTGCGCTTTGCACGCCTAACTTGCAGCGCCAGTGTGTCGCTCATGTCCTTCCGCGATTTTGGAGGCTCCATGGGCGGGTGGGTGGGCAGGTCAGACGGCAGCAAGAGCAGATGAATCGTCGTCTGGAGCAGTACTGTGGTCAGGAGTGGCCATGAGGACCCTTAAGTCAGCGGCTGGGCCAAGCTGTGTCTCGTGTGCTGTTTGCCTTCTGATTCCCTGCCCGCTGATCCCTCGTCTGGTGCGGTCCCTGGGGTCATGCTACGGCATCTTGGAATTCCGCAAACGCCTGAAATTGCATCGCCGTGTGGGTCACAAGCGGAGTATTGACAGCTCAGCACAGGTCACCTTTACTATCTTAGAGGATTTAGAGGCATGGTTGTGCAGCACGGTAACTGTAGTCCGCGTGTGGTTCCATCCCCGGTGCCGAAATGTCATTGTGTTGGAGTCTCCCATGACTTTGGTTCCCAGGGGGTAGAGGCAAAGGGCGCCCCAGACTGTGCCTGTGCTGAGGCATCCGGCTTTTCGAATTGGCGCACGTTTTTGGACAGGGCGTTGTGATGGAATGCAATTGCCGGGTAGGTTGCATCAGTCTCATCAGTGTGTGACATCTTTGGGCAGCCAACGATATGTTATCCCGAGGCAGGTTTTTGAATCGTGTGGCTAGCGGTCTGCTTACGTCATGCACGTTTGCCAAGTAAAGCGCTAGTACATACCCATCGCAGCGCTGCACACATACGTACTTGCCCCGCTGAGCGCCATGTGCGTTCTTATCCAATGAAAATATTTCTCAGATGTATGACCTGAGTCCGTAATACATAGTTCTGCGGCAAGCATACACCAGCATGCTAAATGTTGGCCAAGGGTGAGCGGTTCTGGCATTATGCGCCTCAGTTGCCTTCATGCATTGCATGTCGTGATCTGCCTTGCATGTTCTGCGCAGATCCTTATCAAGTTGGTTGGTGTTGTGTTGTGTTGCGTGCCATGTTGTTTTGTTGTCGTGTGCGGTGCTGCGCTGTGCGGTATGTCGTGCCGTTTTGTGGTCAGTTGGTGTGCTGTGTAGTGTTTTTTTGTTTCTGCTGTATTGTCCTGTCGTGTCCTGCGTTGTGTGATGCTACGCTGCGTTGCGTTGAATGTTGCGTGGTACTTCACATGATTTGGTCACGTATTGCGTGCCCTGTTGGGTGTTTTGGGTTCTGTTGTGGGTTTTGCTGCCGTCAATGTTGTGTGTTGAGTTGAGTCGTCTGGCACGCATTCTTGCGTGCAGACCATGGGTCTGCCAGGGGAAGTCCAAAGGCCCCGACGGCCTCAATCGACGTGCACATTGAGTGGATCCAGTGCTGCAGTGAAAAGGCTGCCACGACGGCCCCCAAATGAGGGCCGATGCCAAGCTGTCTTGCGGAGCCTGGACGCAGCCGGAGATCTACCAGGCGTGCTGTGACGACTTGTGTTCGTGGGCCGCGTGGAGCGCCACGCTCTTCGGGCGTGACAGGGACCACGACCAGCTGGCGAAGGAGGCCGATGCCGGGTTGCCGGCAGCAAAGCACGCTTGCGAGTATAGTGCCGCTCAGAGAATAACGTTGGCACAGGCGCAGCGGAGCTACCTCCAGGGGGACAAGCGGCCAGATTTTGAAAAGGAGGAGGCGGAGGTCAGGAAATTGCTGGCGATGTGGGAGCGCCCCTGTCAAGGTTACGAGGGGTAAAGCAGCAAGGCGCTGCATGTGGCATCCGCCCAGTGCCTCAGCTCCTGCGCAAAGAACGGCGGCGACGACTGGATGTTCTCATATTGGCTAGAGATGGGCAACTTGACATTCACGGCACAGCACTGCACGACGCGAACCATGAAATAGCAAAGCAGCTCAGCAAACCAGGCATGGCAAGTCAATGTGCGACATCATCAATCTGCCTCAGGTAGCACAAGGCAGGACGCGACGCGAAAACACACTGTGCACCATGCGACGCAAAGCCAGTCTAGTCACGAGGGGGCAGCAGTGTATTACAGAACAAACAACACCGCGTTACAAAGCTGGAGGTCAACCCACAGCCAGAAGTTCACAGCACAGCACAACTAACTTACGACATGCTCGAAGGCGACGACTGGTAAGCTGTACTGAAATGTCTCCATCTGTTAGCGGGAAGCAGCTCTGAAGCATAGCATCGATATCGCATCGTGAGTAGGTTTGTATGTTTGTGCGCGATGCGATCTGTGTATTGTGAGTATGTGTGTGCAGGCCTAAGTTCCAGTAGAAGCCCAAGGTTGTGATGGTTGGCGCATGTATGTAATGTGTCACCTGCGCCACTTGTGAAGCCGATTGTCGAGACGAGAATTCAGGAGGCTGTCCGAAGCTGCTAAGAGGTGTTGGCATCGAGGGGTGCACGATGTGACGCAGGCTAACCGAAAGTCATCATTACAGGTGGTGAAGTTGATCCAGCCATACATCCTTACGCATGTATTGTGACGACATAGGAATGGACGACAGAGGGGCCGACCAAAAGGACTACGACAGATAGGACACCGAAAACGATGACGATGACGATGACGGCGACGGCGTCAGCGACGGCGCCAAATATTTGACGCATCCGAAGAGGGTGGCGGATGACAGGAAGCCCATTCGCACAGTGGTTGCTTCCCAGTCATCGTGCTATCTCCGCCCCCTGCCGCTGCCCGTCCTCTGCTCCCCAGCTTTCCGCATCTCGCTCTCGTCCGTCCTTTCTTTCTCGACTCCTCTGCCTCTGCTGCTCTTCGTTTCCTATTTTGTCTGCTCGCCCTGCTTCCTTCTTTCCCATGCTCTCCGTCGTAGATCCCTTCCTTCCTCTCTTCCTCCATCCCTCTTTTATTCCCACTTTCCTTCCCACTCCCCCGTCCTCCCCCTTCCGCCTCTTCTCGCCGTTCCACACCCACGGCCAACCGCCTCTTGGCTGCTCGCTCGCCCGTCACCTCCGCGGACCTGAGCCTGCCCACCTCCCCACCCCGACGTGCTCTGCGCGCTGAGGGCGCCCTGGCCGTCCGCGGCCACCTCTCCCCCCTCCCTCCTGGCCTTCCTTGTCGCCCTTGCGCCCAAGTCGCGACGCAGCAGCCCTGCCATAGCCACGACCGCAGCTTGGATCCAGGGCGCCGCCGACCAGACAGGTCGCTCACTCGCCCGTCCTGCTCCTCCCCCTCCGTTTCCCCCCGTCGGCCCGCGAGAGAGCCCAGAGACCCTGTGGCCAGGAGGAGGCAGCGATGCTGGCGGACACGACTGGAGGCAGCAGCCCAAGCAGCGCCGAAACGAGGACTTTGCCCGGGCCAGATGCGACGTTGCCGAGCTTTTCGTTGTTGTTGGTGTTGTCTTGTTTTATCCTCTGGCTCGCAAAGGTCGTTGCCCAGACCAGATCGCTCCTTTCCCCCCCCTGGTAGTGGCAGCGGTAGCGATCGTAGGGAGGGGGGGGCGGGGGCTGGACGCCCAGCCACATGCTGGTACTCGTGCGCACATGGCAATCGCAGCCCAACCCGCCCAAACGTTACCCAGGACCCCAGCCCCCTCCCCCCCTCCCCCGGGTAGTGACCGTTACCTGACATGTTAGCCAACGGGGGCCCGAAACAGCGCTCTCTTGCAATCTACGAGGGTGGTGCAACCAAAGTGGTGCAATCTAGGTGGTGCAGCACTCCATGTGGTGCTATCTAGGTGGTGCAAAGCAAGGCAGAACCATGCAAAGCCATGCGCATCAAAGCACATCTTTGCAAAACAATGCAAAGCAACGCAAGGCGACGCAACGCGATGCACAGCAATGCAACGCGATTCCGCATCGCCACCGGGGCTCAGTTAGTTCCTTTAGGTAACACAAGCAAGAAAGCTGAAGTGCAAGCACTGTTTGGGAAAGAATGCAAAACATGACATCGAAAAACGCAGCATCGCGAAACATCGCCCACGGAGCCCTGGCCCCCACCGTTCTGCTGCATTTTTCGAGCTAGATCGATCTGTGATGGCCCCGGGGCTGGCAACGCCCAGATCTCAGGGGAGGAGCTCGGCGAGCCCCGCCAGAATTTTCACAACTTGGATCCCTGGGTGTCCCGACCCCTTCCCTCCCGGGGCCAGTTCCGCGTCCCGAGTCGTGCTCTTGACGTGCCCCAGGGCCTGGCGGGGGCCTCCGGAGCCCGAAAACAATACCGAACCTCCCGTCGCGACATTCCTTCCCACAGGCGCGAGCGGGTCTGGGTCCGGGGAGGAGCTCGGCGGGGGCCCCGCCGGAACCCGAGGCGTACACCAGCATCCCCCTTGGCGAGGGCAGCGGCTCCGCGCTCGACGCTGCCCGGGGGCCCCAACGCACCCGAATAGGGGAGCCCCAGGGAGTGGGCCTCCGCGGCCGACGCCCGGTTAAGGGGCACACGGCGTGTTGGGCGTGTGCCGCCCCTCTTCCAGGGGCCGCTTCCCCATCCCCAGGGGGGGCAGTGTGGGAGGAGGTGCCACGGCGTGGGCTGCCGTTCCTCGCTGCGTCCTTGACGTTCCTCCTCCTCCTCCTCCTCCTCGTCCTCCTCCTCCTCCCTCCTCCTCCTCCTCCTCCTCCTCCTCCTCCTCGTCCTCGTCCTCCTCCTCCTCCTCCTCCTCCTCCTCCTCCTCCTCCTCCTCCGTTCCTCCGTAGCCAGGTCGGCTCGAGCCATGCTGGCCCAGGGGCAGCTGTCGGGGCGGGCAGGTGGGCTCTGGGCCCGCGCGGCGCCGCGGAGGGGCGGGGCGAAGGCGGCGGCGGCGAGAGGCCCGCGCCCCTCGCGCTGGTGCTGTCGTTGGCGGGCCTGGGAGGCCGCGGTCGGCTTGGCCTGGGCATGGGCTCGGCATCGCTCGGACCCGTGCATCCGCTGTCGGCGGGGACCATCGAGGAGCATCCCGGAGCATCCGGCAACCCACAACACGCGCGCACGAAGACGAACGTTGCCCGCCCGGGGAGTCGACGCCCGAGCGATGGCAAGCGGAGCGCGTGCGGGCGTCGTGCTCGTCGCAGCACGCGCGCCACCCCCACGCTCACCTCGACAGGCTCCACGGCCAGCGCTGGGCGGAGGCCCGCGCGGTGGACCCGCGCCCCCGTTGCGAGGCCCGAGTTCCGCCCCCAGCGGGCCGCGCGGGCCGACGGGGTCTCCTTCGCGGAGGTGGAGCGTACGAGGACTGGACGGGGCTAGAGTCGAGGCAAATCCGTGCCCGAGCGCTCCGGAACGCTCTCAGAGCGTTCCTGAACGCTCTGAAACGGCCGTGGCGCCCAGTATACATCCTCCAAGCCCGCCGATTCTCAGAGATTCTGGATTCAGATCGGCCGGTTTTGTCTCGATTCTCCGAGCCGGGAATTTATAAATGACCACCGCCTGGAGGATCAATCTCGGAGATCGCGGCAGGCGGTGGGTATGGACATCTTCGGACCCCAGGGGGCCAAAACGTATCCATTCATATATATATATATATATATATATATATGTATATATTCTGTTATATGTGCATATATATATATATATATATATATATGTATGTGTATATATATGTATACATATATGTATATATATATATACCGCTGGGGCACCAGGACGTCGGTTCCCAGGCGGTCGATGTGGATAAATCCCCGCCTCGCAGATTCTGCCTTCGTCTTATGACCACGTACGAAGAGACCCAGACATGCGACATCTTGATTTTTTCAGGACGGCGTCCCTGGAAGCCCCGACCCTTTCCCGGGACCAGCGTGTCGTCCCGGGTCGTTTACTGACGGCCCCCGAGGCCAGGCGAGGGCCCCCCGGGGCCGAAGGTAGCCAACAGCCTCCCGTCCTGATTTCTTTACGACGCGATTATGTCTGGGCTTATAGGAGGAGAGGGAGGTGGAGGAGGAGGAGGAGGAGGAGGAGGAGGAGGAGGAGGAGGAGGAGGAGGGGGAGGGAGGAGGAGGAGGAGGAGGAGGAGGAGGAGGAGGAGGAGGAGGACTTCCTTGTATGACCGCGTGAGCACCTGGGCACGAGCAGACTCGCCGCCGATGCGCGGCTGCGGCCGGCACGGGACGGCCGAGGAGCGCGACTGCGGCGAGGCCGCGCGGCGCGCCTGGCCAGTGCCACTGCCCTCGGCTGCGAGGGCGCGGCTCACAGCCGCCGCCGGCCCCTGCCCGCGGTGCTCCTCCAGCGTGGCGGCGCCGGGGCGACCCACGCGGGCCTCTGCCGGGGGCAAGTGAGAGGGGGATAGGCACAGGTCAGGAGGGGAAAGAACACACAGACACAATGAATCGTCGATCCCCAGGAGAATATGATAAAATATGGGAAGTGGGGGGGAAGACAAGAGCCACAGCAGATGCCGCTTTGCAAGACAACAGAACTGAAGCCGGCAATGTCACAGCTCCAGCCCCAGGTCGGCAAGGCCCCTGCCACGACAGGGATCCGATCTGAAATGCTCTGACAGCCAGGCCTTGAGCTTGAGAGCGCATGACTGCAGCTGTACAACGCGGCCATGCAGCCGAACGCTCCGACGCCAGCAAATTGAAAAAACATTGACATCACAGTGATCCCCAAAGCGGGTGACATGACGAATCCTCAGAATTGCCACCCGGTCTGCGCAATACCAATGTTGTACAAGCTCTGCAGTCGCCCATTGTACTACAGGCTTTCGCCGACGCTGGATCAACAACAACTCGGCGACCAGGCCGGCTTCCGACCCTGGACGGGGCACGCGGGACCACCTCTTCACTTTCAACATTTTTGCGATTCAAACGTTATGGGTCGCAGCGGTGGACTTCAAAAAGGCGTTCGACAAAGTGGAGCACGACAGTCTGTGAAAAGCGTTACTTCAACAAGGCGTGTATCCTGGACATGTGGACCGTTCCGACGTCTGTATCATGACCAGACAGTTGTGGTCCGCGCCGACGCCATCAGCAAGTCTTTCAGCCTCAACCGTGGTACAGAACAACGTGACCCCTTGCGCTTACTGTTGTTCAACGCGTTGGTGCGGCATGTGCTGTCACCTTTCATCCAGGACGAGCAGGGCCGCAACCAGGGCGTCCAACTTGGTGCTACAGGCATACCAGTATCCACAAACATCCAGTTCGCCGACGACATCTTGCTGGTCAGCCAAGCGCTGCCAAACTCAAGGCCATGCTCTCCGACCTCGCCGCCTCAGCCAGGCCGCGCAGCGTGGAACTGCATGCCACCAAGGCCAAAGTCCTGACCAACCAGTCCAGGCACTGCGCACGCATGGTCAGAGTTGCACACGTGGACATCGAAGTGGTACCACACACACACACTGGCACCATCAAATACTTGTGACAGGTCATCACACTGCACGGCGCCATTGCGACAAAACTCAAACACTGCATCCGAGCAGCGTGGGCATGTTGCAGTAACTACAGACAGGAGTTCACCAGCAAACATTCCCCACTGGGCAACCGACTACGACTATACAGAGGGACCGTAATACCTACAATGACGCATGGCGCCGAAGCGCGGACTCTAACATAACCTTTCAAACAACAGCTGCGCAGAACACAACGATGAATGGTCAGCATTATTTTCGGAACGCCACGTCGGCGCACGACAGCCTCACTTGCACCGCGCCCTAACCCAGAGACGAATCAAAACAATGGGCGCGACACTGGCTCTGCCCGCTCCCCCTCCTACCCTTCACCCCTCCTCCCCTTCAAATTGTAGAGGAAACCTGATTTCTTATAACAGGGGCTATTGTCGTATGTGTCTTCTGTATCGGCGTCACGCAGAAACGGGGTGGCACGAGCGGTCCGGCCTTTAGGAGGCAGGATGCTTATCAGAACATCTGCCACCTTCGGACGGCCTTAGAATAGAGTTAAATCCGTTTCAGAACGTTCAGGAACGTTTCAGAGCGTTCCGGGACGCTCTGAAATGGCAGCGGCGTCCTCCAAGCCCGCCGATCCTCAGAGATTTCCGGTCCATATCGATACGATTCCATCTCAATTCTGGCTCCGCTTTCTTCTGAGACGCCCCCCCCACCTTCTTTGAAGGCCAGCAGCCCCCCGCCCGCGCCGCCCCGTAGGGCACGCCGCCCACTATTGGGGGCGGGAGAGGCCGCGGGAGCAGTGGGGGTATGCCTGCGGCAGCGTGGTCACGGCTGCCAGCGAGAGGGATAAGGAGCAGGAGTCGGGAGCCTTGAGACGGGAGTCAATGCACACGGGGGTCAGCCAGAGCGCTCAATCTTGCAGGATCCTGCAGGGGCAGGGCCGCATTGACCAGGGTTTTGGCGCAGGATCCTGCAGGATCTTGCAGGATCCTTCGGGTTGACCCCGGTTTGGGTGCAGGATCTTGCAGGATCTTGCAAGGCCTGACTGACCCGGGTTTGGATTGACCCGGGTCAGCAGATCCCCGAAGGAGAAGGCTTGCTCAAGGCCGGAGGACTTCCGAGCCTTCTGAGAGGGCCTCCTCCTTCTCATTTCCTGCCTGTGCGTGCCGCCGAGACTGGGCCTCGTGCGGCAGCGCTGCGGGAGGACGAGTCGTCCTTCGAGCGGGGCATCAGGGCGAACATCCGGGAGCTGCAGGAATGCGTCAGGGGCGCCGACGACCAGGTCTCGGGACGACCGACATGGGTACGGAAAAAATTGGGTACAATGCCCAACAGCAAATCTTGTTCATTTTGAGCAGAACTCGCTGTCCGCGCCGCCGCGGCCTGTGTCCATTTGAGACAGAAGGCTGCCTACCCAACAGCGGCCGCTGTTGGTTTGGGACAACATTTGTTGTTGGGCATTGTACCCTTCTGTTCCGTACCCATTTCGGGCGTCCAAAAGGTCGAGCACGCGAGGAAGGGGCCCTCCGGTCGAGGCCGTGGCCGAGATAGCGCGGAGGCTATGGTGGAGAGAGCCCAGGACCGAACCGCTGCCGCTGAATGCTGCTCTCTCTCTCTCTCTGGTTTGGTGAAGTCCACTGCGTTTCCTCCCGCGGCGGGTGAGGGGAGGGGGTCTCTCAGCCCCCATGCCCCCTCCCGGTACCTGGGCCAGGAAGTTGAGCTACAGTAGGCACATCAAATCAGAGATCGGCTTGCCACCCAGTGCCCCACGAAAATTGTTATTTCCGGACGGCCCTAGGTACCTACAGATGTTGTGGGGCACCGTAGGATCTCAAAGACCGATGACTATATGCGCCTGTACCGCGCCCGATGTGTTTTCCTGCTGTGAGAAGCCCAGGGCCCTTGCGTTGATAGGAACAGCATCATGCGACCAGGTTGATCGAGCTGAATCCTACTTTCCTTTTGACTGGCTTCTTATTGCACTGATCGCTGCAACTGCGACTACGCAGCTGCAGCTCCCTGCAGCCACACTGCTACAGCTCTACCGACTGCGGCTGCACCTGCAAAGCCGCAAGCTGACCCCCTTCTCTTCTCGGCTCCCCGCTCTTCCCTATAGCCAACGAATGGCCTGGGATCGAGACTTCTTCCATCCCTTCTCTCCCCATTTTCCATCCCCCTCCCTCTCCCCTCCCTCCCCTCCTCCTTTCCTTCTTACCTTCCACAGCAGCCACAAGGCTTTAGAAGGAAGCTGGGGGGCTGGGATGGGCCAGTCGGATCCATCGGATCGGTCGCTGGAGGGTTCAGGGGGAGGAAGGAAGTGTAAGGAGGTGAATGAGGGGGGGCCAGGAGGTAGGAGGTCGGGGTAGATGGGAGAGGGAGTGGGAGCAGGAGGTGGTGGAGGAGGAGGAGGGTGAGGAGGAGGAGGAGGAGGAGGAGGGTGGAAGGAGAGGGAGGAGTGGGCCAGAAAGTAGGTGAGCGGAGGGAGGATACGAGAGCAGAAGCGACGAGAAGACAGGGTTGGGGGGATGCGAGGAGATGGGATCGGGAAGAGTATGGAGGTGGGATTGGGGGTGTGGCAGTGGAGTCGACGAGCTCTCCAGCTACGGTTGCCATGTTTTTTCGGTGCCTTGCCCTAGAACGCTGCCGCAGAGGCGGTCCGCGCTTGCGTGCGTGCACGAGGTCCGGAAGAGAGCTGGCCACCCATCCTCTGGCTGGTGGCAATGAGGGGTGACCTACGTGGGGGGTGACGTAAAGGGCCCTAAAGGGGCCCTTCAAGGCCCCTCCTGGCTCCAGGAGGGGCCCTGAAGGGCCCCCATCTAGGTCACCCCGACGAAGGCTCGACCTCAGCTGCCCCCTGGCGAACGGGCCGGGTGTGAGGGCCAGGCTGGCGGTGGCCGCTCCCCCCCCCCCCCTGTCCTTGTCCGCCTCATCCTCGTCCTCCTCCTTCTCGTCCCTTTCCCTCTCCTTCTCGCCCTGCCCCTCCTCCTGCCTGCCCCTCCCTCTCCACTCCTCCTCCCTTCCCCTCCTTATCCCCCCTTCCTCCATTTATGTTTCCCCAATCGATGCTTGCACCTGGGGGTTCTTACTTGTTTCCCTGAGGAATTGGTTTGGTCCGGCGTGGATTCTCCGCTTTGCGGCACGTTGCCGCCTGGTTGCCGCCACGTTGCCGCCCGGTTGCCGCCTCGTGCGTTGGGTGGGTCCGGCGAGGTTCTGCCACGTTGCCACCCGTTGCCGCCTGGTTGCCGCTTCCCACGTTGGGTGGGTCACGTTGCTGCCCGTTGCCGCCCGGTTGCCGCTTCGTGCGCTGGGAGGGTCCGGCGAGGTTCCGCCTCGTTGCTGCCCGTCGCCGCTCGTTGCCGCTTCATTTCTGCCTCGTTGCCGCCTCCTGCGTTGGGTAGTTCCGGCGAGGTTTCGCCACGTTGCCGCCTGGATGCCGCCTCGTGCGCTGGGCGGGTCCAGCGAGGTTTCGCCAGATGGCCATCCGTTGCCGCCTCGTTGCCGCTTCTAGCTTGCACCACGTATATTCTCCTTTTAAAAATAGAATAGAGTCTCCCCCCCCCGGACTTATCGGTTCCCCTTGGGATAGTATGATTTCATACATTTTCTGCACGCTCGTCCATCCTAAATATGAAATCATATCATCCCAGCTAGGCCAGTTTGCCCCCCCTGAGGTTCCCTTGAAAAACACACTATGCGGTGACATTTTTGGTTCTAACATCGCACTTGTTCGCGAATCCCTTGCACAAAAATAGACGAAGTGCACACGCGCGCGTCGTCGCGCGCGCATGCCGAAATCCTTTAAAAACCTTCGGTGCCGGAAGGATTTCGCAATCGAGTTTCCAAAAAAAATACACAAACACATGGTTTCGCAACACTGATTTGCTAAAGAAGCTTCCGCGCGAGCTCTTGCGAAATCTTAAGAAAACCATAGGTTTTCAAGATTTTCTCAAAATGCTACCAAACAGGCTTCGCGCGCGCGCATGTCGAAATCTGTCGAACGCCCTTGCGCGTGTGCCGTCGCGAGAATCTTCTGCAAAAAATGGGACGAAGTGCAGACGCACACGTCGTCGCGGGCGTATGCCCCAAACCTTCAAAACCCAACGGTTTCGGAAGGATTTCAAAATCGTGCGTCCAAAAAACCTACAAAAACCAGGGTTTCGCAACACGGATTTTCAACAAAAGCGTGCGCGCGCGCTCTTGCGTCGTCGTCGTCGTCGCCGTCGTCGTCGCCGTCCTCCCTCCTCCCGCGTCGTTGTCGTCGTCGCCTACGTCGTCCTCTGTCTTTTCTTGTGTTCGTCATCGTCGTCCTCTTTGGCGTCGTGGTCGTTTCCGTCGTCGTTGTCGCCGTGGTCGTCCTTCCTCCTCCTCCCACGTCGTCGTCGTCGTCCGTCGTCGGCGTCTCGTCGTCGTCCCTCCTATTTCGTCGCCGTCGTCGTCGTCGTCCTTGTCGTCGTCGTCTTCCCTCCTCCCTCGTCGTTGTCGTCGTCGGCGTCGCCGTCCTTCCTCCTTCGTCGTCGTTCGCGTCGTCGCCGTTCTCCCTGCTCCCTCGTCGTTGTCGTCGTTGTCGTCGTTGTCGCCGTCGTCGTCCTTCCTCCTCCCTCGTCGTCGCCTTCGTTGGCGTCGTCGTCGTCGTCGTCGGCGTCGGCGTCGTTGTCGTCGTCGAAGTCGTCGGAGACGTCGTCGGTGTCGTCCTAGTCGTGTCGTCGGTGTCGTCGTAGTCGGTCTTACGAGGTTTTGCAAACCAAGTTGCGGGTGGGTGGGTGGGATGTTTGCGCGAGCAGTGGAGATGACGACTTCAAGTTCAGCAGAGTGGACTGCACCCCATAGCTTGCGCCGTATATCTTGCGCCATGTAGGGTACACGTCCACAGTGCAATATCTATTGTTTGGGGCCCACGCTGGCTAACGCTATTGCAGATGGTCTTCCTCGTCCGACCAGACGTGTTGGCAGGGCTGGCCAGGCTTTACGCTTGATGCCCTTTCACATATTGTATTTTCCGATTTTCCAACAGGTACAAGTATGGTGGGCGAGTGTCGAAATCGTTCGAACGCCCTTGCGCGCGTGCCGTCGCGAGAAGCCTCTGTAAAAAATGGGACGAAGTGCACGCGCGCGCGTCGTCGCCCGCGCATGCCGAAATCATTCGAAAACCCTGGGTCTTCGCGCGCACATGTCGAAATCGTTCGAACGCCCTTACGCGCGCGCTGGGGTGGCACGATCCGTGTCCAATAATACCATGCAAGCCACTCTCGCGCGTCTGCCGCGCGCGCATTGCGAATTCCTTCCAAAACCTCCATCACTTGCGCGAAGTCGCCGTCATCGTCGTCGGCGTGACTGGCACCGGCGCCGTCACTGGCCGTGCCGTCGTCGCTGTCAGCATCATTACCAACATCGCTACGATCATCATCAGCATCATCATCATCATCATCATCATCATCATCATCATCATCATCATCATCATCATCATCATCGTCGTCGTCGTCATCATCCATCATCATCATCATCATCATCATCATCATCATCATCATCATCATCATCATCATCATCATCATCATCATCATCATCATCATCATCATCATCATCATCATCATCATCATTATTATCATCATCATCATCATGATCATCATCATCATCATCATCATCATCATCATCATCATCATCATCATCATCATCATCATCATCATCCTCGTGTCTAAAATTGTCGTCGGGGGGCCGCTGGCTTAGCAGCTGATCGTTCCTGTATGCTGGTGCTGCCCCCACTCTTCTATTTTAAGGATTGCACATTGTGCTGGGCGTTGTAACCATTTCTTCCCGTCGTTGAAGGAAAGAGAACACGAGAGGCCCCAAGGCTTGAGGCTGGGAAAAAATGTCGGCGTTGACATGCCACCCCGCCCGCCCAACTCGCCGACTCGCACTCACGTGCCCGCTGGGATGTGCCGAGCGTCAGCACCACCGCGGCCGCGTCCGTCGCGCCAACCCACCCGGCCGCTGCACGCGCGCGTGCGGGGGCTGGCGCGGCCGCAGGGAGGCACCAGCCAGCGCCGAGCACTCATCGCAATCGCCGCCGCATGAGGTTAGCAAACCAAGGTGCAGGTGGGTGGGTGGGATGTTTGCGCGAGCAGTGGGGTGGACAACTCACTGCGAACAGAACTTAGCTGCATCCCATAGCTTGCGCCATACACTTTGCACAATGTAGCGTACACGTCCACAGTGGAATATCTTACTGCTTAGGGCCCACGCTGGCCAACGCTATTGCAGATGATCCTCCTCGTCCGACCACCAGACGTGTTGGCAGGGCTGGCCGGGCATTTCGCTTGATGCCCTTTCACAGATTGTATTTTCCGATGTTCCAACAGGTGCAAAAATAGTGGGCGAGTGTGTTTCAAAGTATGGTTCTCGCCTGTGTGCCGCCCGCATTCGCTTTCGCAGGCAGCGATTCGTGGAACGAATGGCGATCCATGTTCGAATTGTGGTTCTCGCTTGGTATTTGTATCTGTCGAAATAAGTCAGCGCCTAGGCGTGCATTGGTGTAGCAGCTGCACGGATGGATGACGGTTCCTTTTCAAGATGGCGCTCCCGCTTCCTTATGCAACAGCTATTCAGATGGGACGGGCTCTTTTGCAAACTTGGGATACTGCTGGGCACCTCTTTCCAGGATCTGGTCCTACGTTCTCGCATTCTTCCCCAGTTGTTGGAAAGATGCAGGACAACTCCTTGTAAAAACGAGGGTCTCGCCTGGATGGCAGGCCCATGCTGGGCTTGTCTTTCCAGGGGGGGGGCCTTTGTCAGCGACTTGGAAGGCCTGTAGAGACTCATGATGGGGGGGACTTGGAACGGCAGGGTGTATTTCTGCATCGTTGATGTACATTGGGTATGATATGGTCCTCCTCCTCCTCCTTCCCCCCAACATTAAGTCGGGCGTGTCCGTCGACAGGAGGAGTATTTAAGAATTGTCCAAAAATATTAGGGGGACGATGTTTTGATTATGTTGGGGTATTTCTAGTTTTCGCTTGTTTTTATTATTTTGTTTGTTTGCTTCTTTATGAGTATCATTCGTCCCAAATCGCCCTGTAGGGGGACATGCTCGACCAAACCCCCGCACCACCAAATTTTTGTTCAAGGGTGGGAGGCCCGCCTGGCCAAGAAGCTGTCCCCCGCGGTCCCCCGCCCGTGGCCGCAGAGGCCGTGGTGCGGCGGTGTTGCGCGTTGCGGCACTTGCGCCGAAAAATGCCGCCGCCTGGTCGGCGTTCCCCTAGCCTGAAGTCGGGCGCGGCCCTCTACAGGAGGGATCTTCTAAAATGGTCCAACAATAGTCGGGCACGAATGTGTTATATATATATATGTATATAAATGTATTTACATATATTCTCAACATATTACAGTGTCGAGCATATTGTTTGGCATTTTTTTATTTTTCGCTCAGAATCCTCCTTAAGGGAGACAGGCCCGACCTAATCCTAGCCTCCCTGGCCTTCGTCGTCGTCGTCTTTGTCGTCGTCGGCGGCGGCGGCCGGTGGCGGCGTCGGCGGCGGAAGTCGACGAGCTGGCGGCGGCGACGCGACGGCGGTGGGCTTCCATACTGCAGCGATCCGTGGCTTGGGCGCACCAGCAGTTTTTTTTGCTGCGGCGCAAGGCGAGGGGGCGATCTTCTCAGGAGGCAGGAGGGCCTTCTGTCGGGCACACGTGAGCATGCATTGCGGTCGGGAGTTGTTTGCAGTCGACCAGCATAGTAAGGATGCGCGATGAGGATGCAACGGCCTTGGACGCCCATTTCGAAGCTTTTCGATCGGGGCGCGGCCAGCGGAAGCGGCGAATGATGGACCGAGGAGGCAAGGATGCAAGGGTACCCTTGGGAAGGTTGCCCATCCTTACTATCCTGGTTGACAGTAGCGTGCCGCGCCGAAGCGTGGTCGGCCATAAATGGCGACGCGACGCGCAGAGCCGAGACTGGACCGTAACCAGCGTTGAGCCCACACTCGATCAGGGCATCCTTACTACGCGGGTTGACTGCAGTGTAGCGTGGCACTCCCGCCGGTCCTGGCCCACCGCGCCTCGGCGCGGGCCATGCGGTGTTTCCCTTTCCCGGGGCCTCGGGGTGCCGAAGCCCTGTCCGGGCCTCCCGCGCCGCGGAGCGGGGCGGCACGCCACCCGCTCGCAGGGCACGGCGTGCCGCTGGGGCCGCCGGGGCGGAACGCTATGCAGAAGTTCCAGGCAGCACGGTACACGTTGTTTACATCTATGTATCCTTTCATTTCTAATTGTACGTACTATCCTGGGCCTCTTCCTGGCCACTAGGGGGCCAGGAACAATTAGAAGCGAGCACGATTAGAAATGAACGACGTGTAGGTTCACGCGGCGATGGCGCGCCAGCGACGCTGGCGAAGGGGTTCGAGACTGCACTCCGCGCGATGGAGCGACGCGGACACGTGGAGGGACGCGGTGTCGCCATCGGGGGCCCGGCGGAATTCAACCTCGAACGGTCGGGGCCGCGGTCGGTGCAAGGTTGAAGGATCGACGCGCGCCGACGCCGCACGTCGCAGGCGGTTTTCCTTCCCCAACCACCGACTTTTCGACGAAAACTGAAGCCGCTCAGAACAGGAGGGAGGCCCTGGGATACCCCCCTGGAGAGCTATTCGGACGCACCCCTGTCGAGGATGGGCGCCCCCACATCGTAAGTACATCCCAGGGTTCGGGCCCCCGATGTCTGGTCCATGTCGAAAACCCCACGAAGCCCGGGATGGGGGTCGACATGTCCCCTGTTGGCACGAGCCTGCCGAAGGGGGGGCCCTGGGTCTGGCGGGCCGAACGAGCAGGGGGGGCAGGGAGAAGAGGGGGGGTTACGAAATCTTCTGCATGCAGCTGGTTTCGGCCCCGCCGCCGGGCCCATTCCTCGATGCATGGGCGGCGCTGGCAGGCGGTCAAATCAGCTACGTGAGCTGATTCTCTACCCTGCCCTTTGCTATCCCCCGACGTAGGGGGGGCCCTGGGTCTGGCGGACCAGGGGCGGCCCCCGCGGAGCCAGGGCGACGCAGCTGCGAGCAGCGCCTTTGGCGGGAGCCCGCCGTGGAGCCACGAAGTCCGGCGGCGAGCGGGGGAGGGGGAAGTTCGAGGTTCGAGGTTCGAGACGGTGTTTCATTGTTTTCGGCCTCTGGGGGCCACTTTCGGGCCCAGGGGCCCCCGAAACTCGATCCAGTGTGAAAAACCGCGTCGGATGGACCTGGGGTCCAGGGACAGATTTTGAACGACATTCGGCGGCACCCCCAGGGAGGGAAATGCGAAGGAGAAGGCCCTCCCAGACGGCGGCGGGTTTTCTCACGAGGCCCCCAAGCCTTCTGACAAGTGTTCTGCGTCTTCGGGGAAGGCCCAGAGAACTTCCCAGAAGGTCGGGGAACTTCCGAGCCTTCTGAGAGGGCCCGCCCCCTCTCGCTTCCACCCTGTGCTGGCCGCTGAGAAGTGATGTGAGGTCGGCGTCACACCAGCAGTCTAATGCAACGTGTGCGTCGCCCCCCCCGCCCCAGGGGCGACGCGCCCGCGCCGAGCTATCTTACAGCACAAGCTCCGCGGCGGGCGCTCTCTGGCCATACCGCTCGGGAAACGATATACCGCAAGCCTGTTGTACGGCATGTCCGCGTCGGACGCTCGCCTCCAAGGAGCCGCGCAGATGATTCAGAAACCGCCTCCCAAGAAGTTGGGCCAGCGTTTCTTAACCAACTTGCCGGTGCGGAAAGCTGGCCCAGTTTCTCGCGCACGTTCTCCCCTTCAGCGTTAACATCAACAGGGAGCCGTGGCTTTCTTTCCCATGAGCTCGATTCCAGGTGGCGCAGGCGCTGTATTGTAATCCGCAGCTGCCGCCGCCGTGTTGGTTCCGTTTGTGCGGAACGACGTGGCCGCCGCCGTGTTGGTTCCGTTTGTGCGGGACGACGTGGTGTAGCACATGCTGTTTGGGAGTTCGTTAGCCGTGGAAAAAAAGTTGGCCTAGGTTTGTTTCAAGACATTTCTGTGAAGCTGGCCCCGAATTCTTAAGTGATAAGTTCCTTGAGCGTCTTCTCGGCTGTATGTGTGCGTCGCCCCCCCATCCACACAGGGGGCGGCGCGCGCCGAGGTATCTTACAGTACAAGTTCCCTGGCGGGCGCTCTCTAGCCATACCGCTCCGGAAACGATGCACTGCGAGCTTGTTCTACTACATGTTCGGGTCGGACGCCCGGCTCCACGGATGACACATTGTACTACAGTGGCGGCGTTGGTTGAGGAATGTGCCCTGGAGGCTTCAGACCCTCCAGGGTTCCTTATCTGATGAGGGCGGCAGTGATATCTGTGGCCATGCCTCAATTCGAGTTCCACTCGCTCCCAGATTCTGGATTATTTGTCCAATGGCTCCTTATCCAACGCCCTCACCGCACTCGTATGTCCTTGTGCGTCCCATGAGGGTCGTGCCGAGCTGGGTGCCGTGCCGAGCTTGGAGGCCTGGGCCGCCTTGGAGCGTGCGCACGGCCAGGTCGGGCCTCCGCGCGAGGTCGGGGGCGGCCACGAGCATCTGGGAATTGTTAAGTCTGCGGGCGCCAGGCGATGCAAGATGGTCAGGCGCCGGTCAAATCAAGCGGAGGTAGGCATTGGAGGCGAATTGAGGCACGAAAGCAAAAGAGAAAAGAGCGCGAGAGGGGAAATAAGGGGCCAGATCAGACCACGAAGGTCGGTGCGGTGAGGCCGACGAGGGGCATGCGGCTGCGCCCGACGGCAGAGAATCGGAGAACAGACAGTGACATAAGCATAACAAAGTCAGAGGCCCGCGCGGATGTCTCGGATCGGCGCTGGAACCCCTCCATGGCGCGCGGGGCGTGCCAGGGGCGACGCCGGAGGCGCCGCCAGGTGGCCCCAGCGCCGATCCGAGGAATCCGCGCGGACCTCCGAGTTTGTTATGCTTGTGGCATTGTTCTTTCCCCTATCTTGGCCCACGTTCTTTGGGCCACGCCTCGGCCGCAGCTCCTTGCGCACAGCTCTGCTCTGCCCCGCTGCCTGGTCGGAAGGTCAGGACAGCAAGGCTGGGGCGGAGTCTGCGCGGACCGAGTTCTTTTTTTTGCTGGCACCGTGGCTGGGGAGGGGAAAAGAACAACCACACAGACACCATGAATCGTCGACCCCCAGGGAAATTATGGCACAACAGGGGAGGAGTGGGTGGGAAGACGAACGTCCAGAACACATAGAATAATATATGGGGAGTGCCTCGGATTTGTGCTTATTTTTTTCTGTGCCCCTGGGCCCCTTCCGTGGCTTGGTCCCGCCGCAAAGGCGGCGGGGGCGGCGGGCAGGAACTGGCGCGGAGCACGGACCAGCTGTTCCGAGACTGGACGGTGCACCTGGCGGGGGAGCCCTTCGAGAGGCGGGCCACGGGGGGGCGGTGCGGCCTCCACAATTACACAATATGAAAATACTCTCCCACTTCCCCTGATGGCGTCCCGAAGATATCCGACCCCCCCCCCCGCGTACTGTTTTTTTACACACAGGATTCCCGGGAAACGGGTTTTCGCTTGCGTTTTTTCCAAAATGCTGCTCTCGCTGAGGCGCCGGCTTCATTTCTGCTCCCGAATCGTTCCGAATCGTGCTCCCGCTGCAGCGTGGGCCTCATTTTCGGATCGGTGTTTGGCCTCCGTCGTTCAGGATGGCGTTCTCGCCCCAGCGCGGGCCTCTTTCTCGCGCGCCCATCCGCCCGCCACCACCGCGCCGCACCACCGCCACCACCACCACCACCACCACCACCACCACCACCACCACCACCACCACCACCACCACCAACCACCACCACCACCACCACCACCACCACCACCACCACCACACCACCAGCACCAGCACCAGCACAGCACCACCACCAGCACCACCACCACCACACCACCACCACCACCACCACCACCACCACCACCACCACAACAACCACGCACACACGCACGCACGCACGCACGCACCACCACCCACTACGCACGCGCGCGCGGAGCCACAGGTCCGCTACGACACGCGTCCGCGGATAGAGAAAATCAGCGCCATGGTAAGGGATGGGAGGGAGGGGTAGGACGTCAGATATGACGCGAGCGCACCTAGCTTGTCCCCTGCCCCTCCCCAGCTTCCCCCCCCTCCCCCCCCCATCTCCCTGCCACTCCTCCCTCCCTCCCTCCCTTCCTCACTCCATCCATCCCTCCTTCTCCTCCCTCCCTCCCTCCCTCCTCCTCCTCCTCCTCCCCTTCGTTCCCCCTCCTCCTCTCCTCCTCCTCCTCCTCCTCCTCCTTCTCATTCATTCCTCCTCCTTCGTTGCTCCTCCTCCTCCTCCTGTTCCTTCGTTCCTCCGTCCTCCTCCGTCGTCGTCCTTCCCATCGTCCTTTCACTTTCTCGTCCCCTCCCCCCCCTATTCTTCCTCATCACCCTTCCTTGCCCTGCCCCTCCCCCCCAAGGACGGCTCAAGAGGCCTTTCGGTTTTCGGTTGCCCTTTGTTTTCTGGCGCTCTCTTGGTTTTGGGCGCCCTTTCGGTTTTTGGCGGTCATTCCTTTAGCCAGGGGAGGGGTCCAAGCCCCCCCGATAAGAACTCGTTCCCCAGTTGAACGACTCGTTCCCCGATTGAACGACCCGCTCCCCAGCGTTTTTTTCACTGGACGGAATTTCCGAGAGGGTTATCGTCGGCCGCCAAGCAGGTTCTCGGCGGCCCTTGAGGGGGTTCCTGGCGGCCCCTGAGAGGGTTCTTGGCGACCTCTGAGAGTGTACTTGGCGCCCCCAGGAAGGTTCTTGGCGGCCCCCAGGAAGGTTCTTGGCGGCCCCCAGGAAGGTTCTCGGCGGCCCCCAAGAAGTTTCTTGGCGGCCCCTGAAAAAGGGTCCTTGGCGGCCCCCAGGAAGATTCTTGGCGGCCCCGAAGAAGGTTCTTGGCGGCCCTTGAGAGGGTTCTTGGCGGCAAATCCGCAGCGGCCGCTGTTGGCCAGCCGCATACCTGTGTTAAACGGGCATCGCCCGCGGCCATGCTGGCAATGATCCCGGTTCGAAGTCGACAGGAACAGCTGTTAGTCTTTGTGCCCGTTGTTTCCGTACACATTTCGGGGAAACGTAAGCTTCATTTGGGTTTGCCGACGCTTTCTGAAGGGCCCGTCTCTGAATCTAGACGGTCCAGTGTACGTGGGATGCTTGCAGCGGGAGTTCACTCTTCAAACTTCAGACCGGGTTTGGCCATTTTCTTGACGGCCTCGCCAGGCCAACCCGAACCCAACGAACTCGAGTCTTACTTAGGCGATGGCAAACATGGATCAAGGGGGCGTGGATTAGCGACGGGTCCCGTTTCCATGGGACATCGCGGCTTTCCGCCGCCGAGCGAGGCCGCACCGGCCTCATCTTGGGGAGGGCACCTCCCCCGATCCATGGATTTGGCGACCGCGCGCCAACTCCATGGATCGCGAATCCATGTTTGCGCGCCCCCGACTTACCGAATTGCTCAGGCAGCGGAAGAAGTTGTCGTTCGAGAAGCTCCGCGCGGCCTTCGACGAGGAGGCCGCGCTGCTGAAGGACGTGGCGAGACGGCACGAGGCGGTGCCTGCCGACGCCAGGACAGCCTGTCACGGCCCTCGTGGGGAGAAGGGGGACAGGGTGAAGCAGTGGCGAAGCGTCCTGGGTGTCCTATAGGCCCACCAAAGCATGTTCTAACATCCGTTTGTGGTCTGCACGAAATGTTGTTAGAACATTTCTGGCTGGGACTGTTTCGTTTTAACACATCGGGCTTATCTTCCACGAACATGATTTTGTTTGTTAGAACATGTTCGGGTTCTAAGAACATGTCGTGGTAGGCCTATAGGAATGCCGGGACGGTCGGTCCCTGCTCAAGTGGAGAATTCGGTGGCGAAGTCTGAACCCTACCCTCGTCGATCAACGATTCAGGTAACTCGATGGGCGGCGGAGCTAGGGCTTGGAATTCGTCGAACACGTGGTGTCATGTGAAATCCGAAGCCTACCACCGCCTCCCATCGATTCAGGAGGATTGATGGATGGTGGGGGTGGGTTCTGGTTTTGCCACCTAAGCCTGGCATGGCCCGTGTGGGGAGAGGGGAAATGTGCAAAGGCGAGCGAGAACATCCGCGCCGAAGGTCAGAGGAGGAAAAGGTACCCATCTTGCTCCCCCTGCCTCGTGTTCCCCTTCTCTTGGCCTCCTGGGAGGCCCTCGTCGCCACCGCTGGATTCGCTTCAAAATTCTGGTCAGGAAGCACCTGGGGAGAGGTCAGGGGAGTAGTGGTATGGGTACCTTTTGGCTTCCGCAGGCAGGGTGAAGTCAGCATCGTTTAACCGACCCCTGTCCCCATCCCCATCCAGACGCCCACTATCTCGGCACCCCAGTTGGTGATATACCCCTCGAGACCCGAAGGAACCGGGCTGTACCCCCAGCTAGGGGGGTAAATCTGCCAGTGGGGCCCAGGTCGCGCCAATGAGAATAGGGGTCGTTTAGACGATGATCATGGGTGAAAAGGCCCGCGGATAGCATTGATGCCGAAGGGGCGCGAGCGAGGTCGATGGGTGTGGCGCTGTCGACGCGGGCGAGGCCATCGCATTATTCCCGCTGGCGTCGCGGGTGTTGGCAGAAGGGAGCGGTGTGCGTGTGGATGGAAGGGGTAGCGTCGTCATACCATTCAGATGCTCGCAGCCTCAACGAGCAGGAGGAGGAGGAGGAGGAGGAGGAGGAGGAGGAAGAGGACGACGACGACGAACAGAAGGGATGACAGACGGTGGAGGCGGGAGGAGGGGGACGGAGGGAGGGGATGGAGGTACAGTCAAATCGCATCGTCAGGATGAGGGGCTTTTGAAAAGTGTCCTGGCCTGTTTGCGTCTCAGCTCATCCCAGCCCTCCGCCATGGGCCATGGGCCCCGAGCCTGGGCCTCATTTTGGGCGCCCGAGGGCCTTGCATCCTTGCCGCGCACCGCGCTTATGGTGACTCCATGCGGGGAGGGGGCAGCACGGCCATAGCCTGGCTCTCCCGCGGCCGTTCGGCACGATCCGGGAACCCCCAGAGGGCCCTCGGCGATGCGCAGCCACTGGAGGGCATCCCTAGGCTGGAAAGCCGAGAACCAACGAGAGTGTCCGAAAACCTCGACCTGAGCTTACCCCAGACATGCAGTGTCCAGATTTTTTCAATGTTACGGGGTCCCTGGAAGTCCGGACCCATTCCCTGGGACCGGTTTTTCATCCTGAGTCGTCTTTTGATGGTCCCGGGGCCCAGCAAGAGCCCCCGCAGGCCGAAAATTGCCAAAGTCTCCCGTCGGGATTTCTTTCAACGCGATCATGTCCGGGACACCCTGGAGGAGCACCCACAGCCGGGCCCGCGGCGATGCCACCGCCCCGGAGCGCGACTTCGAGGTCGCGGGGCTGCTGGACGACTCTCCAGTCGCCGGCGGCCCTATGCCGCACCGCGACGAGGAGCTGGCGAGGAGGGGGGAGGGAGGAATAAGAATTGGAGGAAGAGGAGAAGGAGGAATGAGGAGGAGGAGGAGGAGGAGGAGGACCAGTGCAACTCTAAGAATTATCAGCGATGTTGGGATAAGCCCTCCGTCTAAGCTCCCTCTTCATTGGCCCCTACAAAAGTCCATTTCCCGAAACTGCACCGTTGGGAGACAATCGTTCGAAATCCTTGAAGCGTGCCAAAACACCATTCTCCTCCAACGCCACGAGTCATAATGATTGTTGCGTTTTGACGATCCAGAATCGTGCCAGAATATCATTCTTGGGATTTCAAGGCCGCGAATCAACGCAACAAGTGCGCCCTCATTATCCTGAGTCTTTCCAAGTCACCATTTCTAAATCCGCGAAACTCTTGCAAATGTTTAAGACGAGTGTGAGCGGCGCTAATGCGAGAGTCACGCTTTGAAAACCAAGCTGCCTTCAGTCCGTGAAGCTATTGCAATGTTGTAAAACGGATGCGCGCGGCGTTAAGGCGAGAACCACATTTTGAAAATGATCCGCTATCAACCCGTGAAACGCTTGCAACTTTTTATGGCGGATGCGCGCGGCGCTAAGACGAGAGCCACGTGTTGAAAGCGGCCCGCCCTCAACCTGTAAATCTCTCACAAGTTTTGTAAGGCGAATGCGCGCGGTGCTAAAGCAATAACCGCATTTTGAAAACCACCCGCCGTGATTTTGTGAAGCCCTCGCAATGTTTGTAAAATGGATGTACGCCGAGTTAAAGCGAGAGCCATGAAAACCACCCGCCCTCAGCCCTGGAAATTCTTGCACATGTTTTGAACGAGTGTGCACGGCGCTAAGGCGAGAGCCACACTTTAGAACACGGCCCGTCCTCCGTGTGCGAAACTGGTGCCAACTTCTGGGGTTCAGGGCCGTAAGCGGTGAGGAATTCTCAGGCGAAGCGCCCGGCTGGGCCTTTCGACCGGCCTCGGGGTGTGACAGGGAGGGATTATTTAGAAGGAAAGGAATGGAGGAGGAGGAAGAGGAGGAGGAGGAGGAGGAGGAGTTAGAGGAGGAGCTGCCGCTAAGCCCAGACCCCCGACGTCACGTTTTTCCTCACCATCCCTTGGTGTTGGGTCTTCGTTTTGAAGACATAGCGCCCCGCGTCCCTCCTTCCTTTCTTCCTCTTCCCTCTCCTCCTACCCCCCCTTCCGCTCCTCCCACCCCTTGCACATCTCACACGCTTCGTGGCCCCATACGGAACTCCACCGAAGGCCCCAGTGGCAGGGTTCGCATGCGGTTCCACACCCAATTTCGAAAGTGCGCCAGTGGATCTCCCTGAATACACTAAAGGCGGCCCCCCTTCAAGGGGGGGGGGTCCGGACCCCCCCCCCCTCCCCCCCTTAAGGGAGGGGTGGGGTCCCGAACCCCCCCCCCTCCTCCCTTGAAAGGGGGGGGGTCCGGAACCCCCCCCCCCCTCCTCCCTTGGCGCTGGAAAAGGGAGGGGGGTTCGGAACCTCCCCCCACCATTGCGTCGGAAAGGGAGCCGGGGAGGGGGGCCTCTCTCGCTTCTCCGTTTTGCGCCAGAGAAGGTGTGTAGGGAGTACGGAGTTGGGAGTAGGGAGTGGTGAGTAGTGAGTTAGTGCGTAGTCAGTAGTGAGTATTGGGTAGTGAGTAGTGGGTAGTAAGTGGCGAGTAGGGAGTAGGGAGTAGGGAGTGGGAAGTGAGTAGTGAATAGTCAGTAGTGTGTACTGATAAGTGAGTAGTGAGTGGCGAGTAGTGAGTAGTGAGTAGTGAGTAGCGAGTAGCGAGTAGTGAGTACTGAGTAGAGAGTAGGGAGTAATGAGTAGTGGGCAGTGAGTGGTGGGTTGTGAGCACGGAGTTGTGAGTAGTGAGTAGTGAGTAGTGAGTAGTGAGTAGGGAGGAGTGGGTAGTGAGTAGTGTGTAGTGAGTAGTGAGTACAGAGTAGTACGTAGTGCGTAGTGAGTAGTGAGTAGTGATGAATAGAGAGTAGTGGGTAGGGGCAGTGGGTAGTGAGTATTGAATAGCGGATAGGGGGTAGCGAGTAGTGAGTAGTGAAGAGCGAGTAGGGGGTACTGAGTGGTGACTAGTGAGTAGAGAGCAGTCAGTAGTGAGTAGTGGGTAGTGATTAGTGAGTAACGAGTAGGGGGTAGCGAGTAGTGAGTTGTGAGTAGGGAGTAGTGAGTAGGAAGCAGGGAGTAGGGAGTAGTGAGCAGTGAGTAGTAAGAAGTGGGTAGCGAATAGTGGCTAGTGAGTAGCGATTACTGAGTAGTGGGTAGTGAGTAGTGACTAGTGACTAATGACTAGTGAATTGTGATTAGTGACTAGAGACTATGTAGTGACTAGTGAGTAGGGAGTAGTGAGTAGTGAGTAGTGAGTAGCGGGGAGTGAGTAATGAGTATTGAGTAGCGAGTATGGGAGTAGCGAGTAGTGAGTAGTGAGTACTCTGTAGCCAGTATTGCTTAGGGAGTCGGGAGTAGCGAGTAGCGAGTAGTGGGTAGTGAGTAGCGATTCGTGGGCAATGAGAATTGAGTAGTGAGTAGTGAGTAGTGGATAGTGGGTAATGAGTAGTGAGTAGTGAGTAGTGATGAGTGCTTAGTAGTGAGTATTGAGTACTGGGTAGTGAGGAGTGGGTCGTGAGTAGGGAGGAGGGAGTAGTGAGTAGGGAGTAGTGAGTAGCAAGTAGTGGGTTGTGGGTAGTGAATAGTGGATAGTGAGTAGTGAGTCGTGAGTAGTGAGTAGGGGGTAGTGAGAAGTGAGTAGCGAAGAGCGAGTAGTCAGTTTTGGGTAGTGAGTAATGAGTAGTGAGTACTCTTTGGGGCTGGGGTTAGTGGTTGGGGTTAGGATTAGGGGTTTGGGTTAGGGTGAAGACTGAGGGTAGGGGTGGCAGGGGTCGGGTTCCGGAGTCAGGGGGCGGCGCGGCCAAAGGGCCAGGGGGGAAGGGGGGGGGGGGTCCCGACGACGGATCGGGGAAAGGGGGGGAGGGGGGGGGTCCCCGACGACGGATCGGGGAAGGGGGGGAGGGGGGGGGTCCCTGACGACGGATCGGGGAAGGGGGGGGGGCCCTTGGGGAGATCCAGCGGCGCACCTTCCCCAATTTCGGCACACCCCTCACATGTTTCGCGGCCGTATAGGAAGCTCAACCGAAGGCCCCAGAGGCATGGTTCGCATTCGGCTCCACCCCTGTATGTCACATGTCAGCACACCCCTCGCACACTTCGTGGAGCCATACGGAGTTCCACCGAATGCCCCACTGGCAGGGTTCGCACGCGGTGCCACCCCTAATTTCGGCATACCCTTCACACGCTTCATTAACCATATGGAGCTCCACCGAAGGCTCTGGTGACAGGGTTCGCATGCGGTTCCATCCCTAATGTCAGCACGCCCCTCACACGCTTCGTGGGCACATGGGGAGCTCCACCGAAGGCCCCAGAGGCAGTGTTCGCATGCGGTTCCACCCCGCATGTCGGCAAACCCCTCACACCCTTCGTGGCCCCGCAGGGAGACCCCTCTATTTCGGCACACCCCTCACACGTTTCGTGGGCCCAGAGGGAGCTCCACCGTAGGCCCCAATGGCGGGGATCGCATGCGGTTCCACCCCCTATTCCCGCACACCTTTGACACGTTTCGTGCCCCCGAAAGGAGCTCCACCGTCGGCCCCAGCGGCAGGGTTCGCATACGGTTCCACTCTTAATGTCAGCACACCCCTCACACGCTTCGTGGACCCATAGGGAACTCCACCTCGTTCCCGAGAGACAGGGTTCGCATGCGGTTCCAACCACCATTTCGGCAAACCCCTCACACGTTTCGTGGCCCCACAGGGAGCTCCACCGAAGGCCCCAGTGGCAGGGTTCGCATGCGGTTCCACCCCCAATTTCGGCACATCTCTCTTACGCTTCGTGGCCCCATAGGAAGCTCCACCGAAAGCGATACTCACAACTGCGGCACCCACATCTGAAGATGGTTTGGTCCTTCGCCAGGCTGATTTGACAAAGTCGATCCCCAGAAGCCTCGACTCGTTCCAAGGGAACGGCTTTTCATCACGAGCCTCTTTTGACGGTCCTGGGGCCCGGCGAGGGCACCCGGCGGCCGAAAGTGAGCAAAGCACAGTTGGTCGTGATTTTTTCCAGGCAAGGGGGGTCTGGGAGGGAGGGGAGGGGCGGGCGAGAGGAGAAGCGGGAAGGGAGGGGAGCGACATGGCGCCACCGCGCGGCGCCGCATTTCTGCGAGTCGTCGCCGCGCGTCTTGGCGGAGCCGCGGGCACAAGTAGCCACATGACCGCCGCCACCGGGACGCCTGGACCTCATCAGACTTCCTCTCGCCGTGAAGATCACGACGGAAGGTTTTGGCTCAGATCACGACGGACGGTTCTGGCGAGGTCTGAGTTTTGGGAGGTTGTCCAGACTCGGGATGCTCTTCCGCAGCTTCGCCCCGTCGATGGCGTGTCTGGGGTGCCCAGGTCTTCTCGAACGGGCCGCCAGGTGTCCGAGTCCTGGCCCGAAAATCACTGAGAGGACGGAAGGCTCGAACCGTGTCTCGTCGTGCACATCTCACGACGGCAGTGTCTTGGCTGCGGCTGGCTTTCGTTGGGCCTTTGTCTGGCCCCGGGGCCGCCAGAAAGCAGCTCGGGATGCAACCCTGGCCTGAGGGAGGCGCGCCTCTGGGGGTTCGTGCTGGCCCCCGCCGTGACGTCGTTCCCTCTTTCCTCGCTTTCACCCTTGGCGCAGACCTGAAAGTTTTGATCCCCTCCCTCCTGTGGCGTTGGCCGGAACCGTTCCGCAGCATCGAGCATCGAGGAGGGGGAGGGGGAGGAGGAGGAGGAGGAGGAGGAGGAGGAGGAGGAGGAGGAGGAGGAGGAGGAGGAGGAGGAGGAGGAGGAGGAGGGGGGGCGTAGGCCTGATTCGCCCGCTCGGGTTTCAGTTCGCCTGGCTCGGCCCTTCAGCCCACTGTGTCGAGGCTTCGGTGGATCCAGCCTCGGGCGAGTCGAGCCCCAGCGA